TCATCGCCCTGGAGATTGTATACTTCGTTTTGAGTCCATTTGTCCTATCTACTGAGAAGCTGCTATTGTTTGCTGAAAGCAGCTTGTTTGCTTTGTCCTAATTGTTTAGGCCAGCCTTGACAATAACCTTTACCCAATTCATTTTTTGAACCTAGCATTACTCTGATACTCAAACCAGACAAAAACAATACCAAAATAACACCAAAAATAAATCAGGCTAGTGTCATTCATAAATAAAAATGCAAAATCACTAAAAGAGTGTTATATAAAGAATTGCACATCAAGTGGAATTTATTCCAGAAATGCTGTGCTGGCTCAAAATCCATCCAGCTATCCATGGTTTGAGAATCCATCAGAGTAAGCCACAGTGTTAGCAGAAAAAAAGAAAAATCATATAATCTAAAAAAATGAGAAAATGCTAGTAGTTAGAAAAACTCTGGATACAATGTTTTAAGATGGCTTCAGTGACCAAATTTGAATCACTACTGTGGTGAATAATTGTAAATAATTGATGTTAGAGTCATTAGATTTTTATTCATATTTCTGTGTGTTTCACACTTCTGCTTCAAAATCTCTTTTTTCCCTATGGAATGCTCTTGCAGAATTATAGTTCTGACTCATGTTCTTTTCACAGCATACATATGCTGCTCCATCAAGTTGTGTTATCACAGTTTGTAACTTGCCTGCATATTCAATAGACTTTAAGCTCTTTGTGAACAGAGGTTGTATATAAATTATTTTTTCCTCATTTGAAATAAAATTTTATTTGATAAGATCATCTACAAAAAAAATCACATAATCTCAATTGATACAGTAAGAGCATCAAAACATTTTCCAGAAAAATAAGAAGAAAACATTTAACAATTGGTCAAAAAGCATCAATATGGCCAGGGATTTAGCTCAGTGGCACCATGCCTGCCTTGTAAGTTCAAGGTCCTGAGTTTGATCCCCGGTACTGGAAAAAAAAAAAGCACCTATAAAATACCTAGAGCTAACATTACACCACTTTCTTGTAAAAGACTAAGTGCTTTTTCCCTACTACTGGGAACAAGGCAAGGAAGTCGGCCCTCACCACTCTTAGCAACAGCACTGGGCATTCCAGCCAATGCAGCGAGGCAGAAAAGGAAATAAAGGCACACAAATTAGAAAGGAATAAATGGAACCATGCCTATTTAGAGATGTATGACATGATTGTTTATGTAAAAAATCCCAAATAATCTATTTTTTAAAAATCTCTAGATACAGTAAGTGCATCTAGATCATAGGATACAAGATGAACATACAAAAATCAATTTTATTCCTGTATACCAGAAATGAACACATGACACTGATATCAATGCCATTTATAATTTTAAGCTAAATTTTAAAATTGAGGTTATAAATGAGCATTTGAACGAGCAATTTACTACACTAATAAGGTTGTCCGATGACCACCTTTATGTACTACTCCCCAAATACTGTCAGCATACCCAATGGAAACCATGTACCCATTAACAGTTATTTCTCATTCCTCTCTCCTCTCGGCTTCTGCCAACCACCAAACTGCTCCCCATGTGTATGGATTTAGTTATTCTATATATTTCATTAAAACTGAATCATACCAATATGTGACCTTTTGTATGGCTTCCTTCATTTGGTATAATGTCTTCGAAGTCCATTCACACTGAAGCAAATATCAGTATTTCATTTCTTTTTACAGCTGAAAAACTTTCTGTTGTGTGGGTATACCACAATTTGTCTATCCCTTCATCCATTGATGAATAATTGGACAGTTTTTATCCTTTAGCTATTATGAACAATGCTGCTATGAACATTTGTGTACACATATTTATTTGAATACCTCTTTTCAATTTGGGGGGGCTCATTCATAGGTGCAGAATTGCTAGATCATACTGTAATTCTATATTTAATTTTTTGAGTAACCACAAAATTTTCTGACATTTTCTGAACCACTTTGCCTTTCTACCAGCAATGTGCACAATTTTTTAGAAATGGAAATATTTTAAGTGTAAATCTTAGAAAACATGTGAGACTTCTATACTGAAAACTACAAAACACTGGTGAAAGAAATCAAAGTCGATCTGAGCAAATGGCAAGACAGATGGTAATGTTCCTAACTAAAAGGGTCAACATTATAAAGATGTCAACATCCCAAACTGATATACAGATTTGACAAAATTCCTATCGTGTTTATGGCATGATTATTTTCCTAAAATTTATATGGGAAGTACAATGAGTAAAACAATTGTGAAAAAGAAGAACAAAATGAGAAGACCCAATCTACTAATTTAAGACTATTTGTTATTAGCAAAGGTGTAAAAACATAAAGCAATGGAACAGAATAGAAAATCATGGAAAAGACCCACACAAGTATACCAAACTGATTTTTGGCAAAGATAATTTCATGGAGGAAAGAGAGCCTTTTTAACAAATGGTGCTGAATCAGCAGTTGGACTCTCAGGTCAAGGGTGGCAGGTGTCAGTGGGAGAGAAGAAATTACCCTTGGCCTAAGGCTTCAGTGGTGGCAAATCTATGACACCCATGCTGCAGCGGGCACACAGAGCCATCTCTATCAGCACATGAGCCAAGTATCCAAGCAGCTAAGCGTTGGGTAACAGTTGTTTTTTCTAAATTAAAACCTCAATATTTAGGTTTAAAGGCAGCATTGGCACTTTGTGATAAGTAAGTGGGTTTTGGGTTGCAGTTGGGTACTCGATCTCTAAAGGTTTGCCATTACTGGCATAAGTCTTAAGCTTTATGCAAAAATTAAAGTGGATCATAGGTTTAAATGTCTGAAATAAAACAGTAAAACTTTCTTTGTAAAACCCAGCAGTTATACTCCTGGGCATTTATCCAATGGAAATCAAAACATAGTCACACATAAACTTGAATATGAACATCTATAGCATCATATTCCTAACAGCACCGAACTGGAAATAACCTAGATGTCCTTAAACAGGTGAATGGTTAAACAAGCTGTGGGAATCCGTATCATGGAATACTGCTTGGTCATAAAAAGGAAAGAAAGAGGCTGGGATGTAGTTCAGCCGTAGAGCACTTGCCTAGCAGGCATGAGGCCTTGAGTTGGGTCTCCCTAGCACTGCAAAAAACAAAACAAAACACTAAAAGCTATTGATACATGCAATAGTCTGCATGAATTTCCAGAGAACTGTGCTGAGTGAAAAAGAAAATCTATCTCAAAATGGTACATAATGTATTATTCCATGTTTTTAACTTTTTTTTTTTTTTTTGAGACAGTGTCTCACCAAGTCACGACTTACCCTGGCTGGGCTTGAACTTGAGACCTTCTTGTCTCAGCCTTTCAGAGTGCTGGGATTACAGCATGCACCACCATGCCCAGGTATATTTAACATTCTTTTTTTTGGTACCGGGGATTGAACTTGGGTCCTTGCGCTTGCACAGCAGGCAGCAAAACCACTGAGCTAAATCCCCAGCCCCAATATTTAACATTCTTGAACTAATAAAATTATAGGAAGGGATTATAGACTAGTGGTTCCTAGAGGTAAAGGAGAGGTTGAGGTAATATTAAGGGCAATGTGGGAGAGCATTATAGCAGTGCAAATGTTCTGTTTTGACTATGTTAATTTTCATGCCCTGATTGTAATATTGTACAATAGCTTTGCAAGATGTTACCAGTAGGGGAAACTGTCTTATAGGTATATGGATCTCTGTGTTACTTCTTCCAACTACATGTGAGTTTATAATTTTCTCAAGATAAAACAAAAATTTTTAAATATTTAAATGATGGGCTCAGCAAAGAACAGGAGACTAGTACATAGGAACAGTGGGGCTGCAGTTGAGGGCAGCTCAGTGAGAGAGTGTGTGCCTAGCATGCATGAGGCCCTGGGTTCCATCCCCAGCACCAGAAAAAAAAAAATGAACAGAAACACTAGAAATAGAACTGAAAAGGATCTTAGAAAATAATTATTGTTAAAATTAAGATTTTAGATGATGTATTTGTTTCTTATTGCTACTATAAGGTTACCGTAGAATTAGTATCTCTCTCTCTCTCTCTCTCTCTCTCTCTCTCTCTCTCTCTCTCTATATATATATATATATACACTTTTGGGGAGGTACTGGTCCTCGTACTCAGGACCTTGCACTTGTGAGGCAGGCTGGGCACCACTGAGATAAATCCCCGGCCCTAGTATCTTAATATTTTATCTCGTGGTTTTGGATATCACAATCCCAAAATGGGTCTCACTGGGCTAAAAACAAAGTTCTGGCATTTGAAATGGCTGTCCGTTCCGTGTCTTCATCTTCAAGCGAGCAGTGGAGTCGGGGTCCCTTTCAGATTGCCCTGTCTCTGATTTTCTGCTGCTAATAAGGACCCTGTGATGACACTGGACCCTCCTGGGTAACCCAGGCTGCTCGCCCTGCCTCCAGGCCAGCTGGTAGCAGCCTCGATTCCATGTGGACCCTGGTTCCTCTTTGTCGAATTCACCCTTTGCAGGGCTAGGACGCCCCCATCGCGGGGGAGTGGGGTCACTGTTCTGCCTGCCACAAATAGATTACAAAACCAGATTCAAACCTCTACAAAATAATTATTGAACCAAAAGAACTGAAATTACTTAGACTGTAGCAAAAGAAACGGGATGTGGAAAATACAAATGAGAAGTTAAAAGACATGAATGATAAAGAATCCTAGAAGAAAAACTGTCTCATTTGTTTCTGCCAGGGTTTCATATAAAAATAAATTGGAGGAATTAGGATCATTTTGGATGTTCACAAGTTTGCACATTGCATCTTACTGTTTTTGCAGTTTCACTTTTGATTTAGGAACATACTTTCCTTTTCTCAGAAAACAGCCTTCGATGAAAATTTTAATACTCAAGAGTATATATATATGGTCACATGATTTAACGCACTTCTTTAGTTTGAATAAATGACAAATTTTTATAGTGTGGATAATGTTTAAAAATATTAATCAGGGAAATTTATTAGCATGTGAAAGAGTCATTGACAAGTCCTTACAGCAAATACAAAGAATATAAAACGTGCACTGCCAAGAACGGACTTAAAACAAGCCAGGAAGAAACACCTAGATTTTTAAAAGTGTAAATGTAAGTTCATGCTCGGTTGTCAATTTTGGTTACTTTCAGCTGGTTTCGTCGGGAGCGCATGTCGCAACCTAAGCTTCCCCGTCAAGTCCAGGCACTGGCCGCGGTCGCCTAGGCTGGCTGGGTGGCACTTGCAGGGGGCGGGCCTTGCTCCGCGGCGGCCGCGGCCGAGCTGGCGCTATGAGTTTCCTGAGTGTTACCCCCGGGCGAACTCTGAGGTCTGCCCACTCGGCCTGCGCTGTGGCCGTGGCGCGGGGCGCCCCTCGGCTTCTCGCGTCCTGCAGGAGGAGCGGCGCCACCACCCGCGCCTGCCGAGTCTTCACCGCCCGGCCTCCTCCTCCTCGCGGAGCGCGGCAGACTCTGGCGCCGGCAGAGAGGCGCGGCCGTCGCTGCGTCCAGCCAGTTCCCGTTCCGGGCCCGCGCGGTGCCAGCGCCTTCCCGGCCCACGAGCTTCCTGGCGCACCTGGCTCCTGCTTTTGCTTCCAGATGCTCCGAGTCCTGCAAACCTAGGGCCAAGTAAGTTCTAGGGGTTTGCGCTGGGCGGACGCTTTCTGGAGTGCGGCCCGAGAGCAAGCGGGCGCGGCGAGGCAAGATCTGCTTGCGGTCGGAAAGCGGGGCTGCTTCGGGTGGACGAGGCAGAGAAATCCGGGAGACTGAGGATTGCACCGAAAGTTCCAAAGTTGGGAGCCCAGTGGGTGTGCATTAGCGGAACCCTTGGTCCCACGGTGGCCTGAGGCTGGAGTTCTCAGTTCCGCCTGCAGTTCAGTCACCTGGGATACCTAAAATCCAGATGCCCGGGCCATTCCCTAAAGTCCCTTGGAATCTCTAGGGTGGGACCCAGGTTTGGTATTGAAACGCATCCCGGGTGATTCCAGCGTGCCCCTAGGGTTAGGAACGGGACACCAAAGGGAAGCCAGGAGAACCGTCCTTGGCCCTCCTGCAGTCCAGCTTGTAAACTGGCTGCTTCCAGGGTCCTGCTTGGTCCTGAGGTCAGGAGAGGACTTCCTTTGGAATTCACGGGCTACAAAATGAGGAAATGAGACAGTGTTTGGCAGGGTCGATTGAATATCATATGCAAAAGGTCTCGAGCAGCATGTTGTGAAAACATTCAGAACGACAGATCATGATATCCTGTTGGTTCTGCACCCTGGGAAATGCCTGGATTGTTGGTATTTGAAATTAAGTCTTGGGAGATCAGTAAATCCTGCCTGAACTCCTGTGCCTTTGGGTTTGAAAGTGAAGCCAGAGGTGTGTTTGCCTGAGAGTCAGATCTGTCCTCCCTAAAGCTCCCTGTTTAAGATTTACTTGTCAGGGTCCAGGAAGAGCAGCTGGACCATGGGTGTTAGACAGGAGTGTGTTGCCTGTTCTCACCTAGAGGTAGATGCCAGGGGCAGGTGGCTGGGATTTAGGCAAACAGACAAGGGACAGGCATCTACTGACTATATTGAGCAGATTTAAAACCCACAGCCCAGAAGTAGAGGAGAGGTGTTGAAAGAAGAGTAAATTTTTATGGAATGGAGAAAAAAGCTCAAGCTTTGGAGCCCATTAAACCTGGACCCAAATTCTGAATCTGTCACTTCTGTGATATGTGACCATGGGCAAGTTACTTGACCTCTCTGAGATCCCATTTTCTTACTTATAAAATGGGGATGAAAGAGTGACTCTCTCCTGAGGCTGACGTAGATCAGTGAGATAATGTGCATCAGACACCTGTTGGGGTGGGCGGCACACGGCAGGTGCTCTGTCATTGGCAGTTGTTACCCACAGCTCGAGAGCCTCCTTTCAGCCACCCACAAGATCTCAACGTGTTTCTAGGAAAATTCCTCTTTGGTGCATCAAATGCTTTTTAAGGGCAAGTGATTCTTCCAGACTTGACTTTTGTGGTAAGAGGTGAGTGGTTGCTGCCATTTCAATTAATAGATTTTAACCCAAACCAGAAAGTCTTTAAAAGCAGCAGGCAAAGAGGCCGAGGATTTAGCTCAGTGGTGCCCTCACCTGCCTCACACGCACAAGGTCCTGAGTTCGATCCCCGGTGCCAAAAAGAAAGCACCAGGCACCTTGACACACACCTGGAATCCTAGGACTGCAGGGGAGGGGCTGAGGCAGGAGGATCACTGAGAGTTCGAGGCCAGCCTGGTGTACATAGTGAGTTCAAGGCCAGCTCAGACTACATAGCCAGACCCTGTCTCAAAAAAACAAAACAAAAGCCTTTCAAAGCAAGAGTTTGTCGACTTCCTGGGTTAGATTTTTTTAAGAACTGTGAGTTTTATCTGGAACTGCTACACACCAAGCTGTGGGCAGAGATTACTACACAGAGTTGGCCAAGGCAAGCTGGCTGTGACCCTCCCCTTTGCCCTCCTCCCAGCCTCTGGGCCCATGGAGTCAGCTGGCGGTGCTGTCGCTCTGCAAGGATCTTACCTTGGTCCTTTGATGGAGCAGAGACCCTGGACGTTGGATGTGCTTCTTTAGAGCCAAAAGGCAATTTTGTGTTATGCTTCATTAAAATCAGTAAGTTACTCTCCAGTGTATGATCACTTTGGAATTTGTTTTGCTGAGGAGTCATTCTCCCCTAACTTATAGCGAACTATCATTTAAAGGACTAATATCTGGTTCAAGGTAATTGCTAAATGAGCACCAGATTAGCCCCAGATTTTGGTAAGGGTGTGTATGTGTGTGTATTTATGGTGCTGGGGGGGATAGATTCATAAAATGTGACATGTACCTGTTATATGTTTGTTTCCAAAAGTCAATGTCCTTTGTCCATCTTCGGTATCATTGCTACCTCATAGGTTAGTGTCAGAATAATTGGGGCGTAGTGGATATTATCAGAGCTACACACGACTGCATAGGACAGTTCCACACTGCTGAAAGAACTCCTTACCAGGTGGGAGAGCAGTGAGCAGAATACTTACTTGAAAGAATTTGTCATTTTACTTCCCAAAAGATTAAAGTTCTAATGATTGAGAACTTCCTGTGCTTCATTTTAACACATTCCCAGACTGCTGTCTGTAATGTCAAGACCAAACCTCCTAAAAGAAATTGGGTTGATCACTCGGCTTTTCTTTGGAGATCTAACTCCTTATAACATAGAACAATAGGTCCCTTCTTTCAGATGACCATTTCTGGCTCCACTTAATGAGGCCCACGTCTCACGTTTAACACAAAATAAATCATGCTGATGATTTCAAGTGGAGATATAAGATCTACAAAAAATACCAGTGGGGCAAGACTTACATGGAAGAAACCTTGGATTTTGGAGTCAGTCAGCATCACACTCCTACTTTGTTACCATGTGAACTTGGACAAGATCTTTGGCCATTCCAACCCTGTGTCCTCCTCTGTAACATAATTCTTTCTTTACAGGGTGTTTTGAGTACGTGATGAGTTAATCTATGTGATGACTTGGCATACCACCTAGCTTTCAATGACTGGTAATTATTTTGGTGGTAATAGTTGTGATGGCTACATTGGTTCCAGTGTGGTCTTACTATTTCTTATTTATGTGACTTGGATAAGTATTTACAAGCTTTGGTTCTGGGTCTGTTCGATGAGGATAGCTCTACCTATCTGGAAGGACTGGTTTGAGGCTTAATTTATTAAATGACATGAAGCTATGTCTGATCTAGTGGGCCCTAGAATACTTACATAGGCTTACTCTGTGCAAGCAAGGGCTTTAGGGGTTTTCTTTCTTTCTTTCTTTGCTTTTTTTTCAGCTTATTTAATCTTCCCAATGACCCTATGCAATAGTTATCATTTTCCCCATTTTGGAGAAGAGCCTGCTGAGGTTCTGTGAGGTTAAATAACTAGCCCAGGGAGGAAGTGCTGTGCCCAGGATTTGAAGTAGAGCCCTTCTTCTTAACCTCTGGCCCAGCTGCTGAGTGGCCTCCCTCTCTGCTTGCCCCACCCACCTCCTTCATCACCATAGATGTGTGACTGCTCTGTGGAGAGCCATTCTTCTAACCTGACCTGTATATGAAATGAAAGTAGGGCTCCTTTCTCCTGCTGCTCAGATAACTTTTAAAGTTCAACCATTGCTTAGACTGTTTGCCCTAATTCAGATCTTAAAAAATAATTAGCCCCCTGATTCTGATATTGACTTTTGCAGTGGATTGTGATAAATGTCATCTGCATGCCCTGAGACTGTTGGCCTGGGTGTACTAAAGCATCCCTTCACACAGGCAGAAGTTTGGGAGCACACAAAACAGGCCCAGAGTTTCCAATTTAAAAGAGTGTTCCACTGAAAGTACAGTGGCCTGGCTGGGCATGGTGGTCCATGCCCGTAATCCTAGCTACTGGGGAGACTGAGGCAGGGACATTGCAAGTTCAAGGCCAGCCTGGGTAACTTAGCAAGCCATTGTCTCAAGACATAATTAACTAATTAATTAATTAAAAGGACTAGGGATGAAAGTCAGTGGTAGAGTGCTTCCAGGCTGAGGCCATGGATTCAATCCTCAGTATCACAAAAATAAAGAAAGAAAAGAGGGAAGGAAAAAGGGAGGCCTGTTCTAAGTACATCCCCTGTTTTAAAATTTCTCATTCATCTTCCCCCTTCTTTTTCACCCCATTCGCTTTCTCCTTTTCTTGAGATCTGGCAGGCTTCTCAGAGGCCTATGTCAGTGGAACTTGAAGGCCCAGAGAAACAAATTCTCAACTGAGTGGGTTGTAGATGCTTTAGCATTTCTGATAAAGAGGTGATAATTTCTGCCTTTCCCAGGAGGTAAAGTGCTTTGCTGGCTCCCCAGCCTGGTGTTGAAGACTTTTAGAAAACTATTGGTAGCTCCTGGTTCCTCCTGGCTCTTTGGGCATTCAATCCATCAACATGAATTCAACAAATATTATCAGAAAATCTTTCTGGAACCAGGCATTTACTGAACATTTTTGGATATAGAAATGACTAAAACAGACCCAGCCTTGGGCCAATGGAATTTGCAGGCTATTGGAGGCTGTCTCTACCACAAATGAACATAGACTGGGTAGGGTAAACCGCTAACATTTATTTCCTACAGTTCTGGAGGCTGGAAGAATGAGGTTAGGATGCCAGCATGGTCCGGTTTGGTGGGTGTTCTCTTCCTGGCTTGCAGCTAGCACTTTCTTGCCATGTCCATATGTGGCAGAGAGAGAGCAAGTCTCTCATGTCTCTTCTTACTAGTATCCTCACCAGGCCTTCTTCTAATCCTAATCATCTCCAAACACCATCCCAGTGGGGATTAGAACCTCCACATATGACCTTGGGGGGGAAATACACATTTAGTCCATAGTAGGGGTGAGTGTAAACATACAGTGAGATACGTAATTACTAATTGTGGTGAGTGCTTTAAGGGGAAATAACACAAGTCATGAGACAGAAGTCAGAGCTGCACTGGGATTAGGAGAGTCTGGGGATGCCTTTCCAGGAACAAGCCTTTTCACCCAGGACTTGGGGATGCACAAAAGGAGTGAAACCATGCCAGATGCAGGGAGCAGCATGTTTGAAGCCCAAAGATTGGAAGGACCTGGGTGTGTGAAGTAATGAGAGC